GGTAGCGCACCCACTGCCACCACCACCATTAATGTCCCTAACTAAACCAGCTTCTCGTGAGGCCTGGCTGCAACACGCCCCGCCGCCCCGCGCGATCAGATGGGGACAAGCAACTACTCTGGAAGATGAAGGAATGGAAGAAGACAAGAGATGCTTCTGAACATGGAGGAGAAGGCAGGTTGGGGATGGAAGTTCATGGATGGTCTGAAAGGGAGGTGTCACTGTGCTACCATATGCCCTCTGGATAGGCCCCTGCTCCATCCCATTATATTCAATGTATACAGAGGTTACACATGCCCAGCTTATGCAAGACTTCAACAGTTTAACAAATGCCCACCAGCAGACACTTTAGACACCTAAAGTCCTTAGAGGTTAGACTACCATTGGGAAAGCGTTTGGAGTTTCTCAGTGGCACCTAAACGTTCAATGTAGGCACCAAAGTCTTAGCTTTCAAAATGTATGCGCACACACCTACCCAACAACCCCAAAAAACCTGCCTCAAAAACATACAGCCTACGGAGCTAAAAATCAAGAATTACCAAGTGCAAAAATAGCACAGAAGTTAAATGCATTCTCTTGCTTGAACACTATCTCCTATAACGCATTTTCTAGTGCTCTACAGGCTTAAATGGTATTCTGGACTGGCACTGTGGGATATCATATTTATTGATTCAATTGCTTCTAGACAGCATCTTTACCAGTTAGCATCTACTTAAAAGATTTCTTCTTCTAGTTGCCTGCTCTGAAGACAGGAGTAATAAAAGACTTGTTCATGGGCAATTAAAAATTCTGGTCAAAAGATGTCCCACTACCTCCAACAGGTTTTGCACAGTTGTGCCTCACCAACAGCACTGCTATACAGGTTTCCCTCGCTTTATGCTGTACAAGCGTTCCTAGAAAATGGCACATAACTCAAACTCACATAAAGGGAATCCACTTTACAATGTAACAAATAGACCTCAGTTGTACTGACCCCCAGACCAATTTCTACCATTTTTACAAGACAATTTTGGTACTCACCAACAGCAGACAGTATACACAAGCGCAGGGTGGCTGGGACTAAGGGGGTTCAGCCCCCGCAAACACGGGACCGCAGACTCCGGGCAGCTGCAGGAGGGGTAGTGATGGGTGTGCACACAGCTGGGATCACAGCCAGGCAGAGGCAGCTGCTGCTGCTGCGCGCTGCACTTTGCACCCAGCTGCAGCTGCCCTGGAAGCAGTGCTGCTGGGCTGTGCTGCGCCCCCTGCCCGCCCAGTGGCGGGACACACATGGCATCATGCCACTCCTGGGGCAGCTGCAGCTCCAGAAGCACAAGCACCAGCTGCCCCGAGCGGTGGCCGCAAACGCTGCTGCCAGGCAGCTTCACGGCTCCCGGCTCCCAGGGCACCACACTGGGCTGCAGGGACCGACGCTGTAGCCTGGCCCGGGCAACACCACCTGACTCAGCCTATGGCATCACTCCTACAATGCACCACACAAAGCAGCTGACTGTGGGCTTCTACCACACCAACTGCATAAGAATGAATTTACCTTGAATATAACCAAATTTTTCTATTAAAAGGGTTATTGCATAAGCGTGAATTTGCACATCCAGAACCGATAAAGCATAAAGCAAGGAAACCTGTATTAAGTTCTGGCCGGTTACGAATGGGACCAAATCCAGCTTGTTATTTCAATAAAGCCAATGGGATTAAAAAAAAAATCAGGAAGTTTGTTACTCTAGTAAGCAGAAATAAGTTGGTACATACAGGGGTCAAATAACTTGCAATTTTTAAAGTCAATGTTTACAACACAACACACATTTTCAACTGATGGAGATTATGTTCTCAAAAATGTCCCCTCCCACTCCAAATAGTTGCTTACCTTGTCTTTTTATTAAGTCTAGGGAGGTAAAAAGAAATAAGTACAAATTCTTTGGAATTAGAAACTGTTATTAGCTTTAAAATATGCAAGTAACATACAACAGAAAAATTATTACTGTTAACAAATGAAGCAGTTATTTCCTTTCATAATAATGAACAAAATCAAAAAGCAAGCTGAATTCCCATTAGAATGTGGCTTTAGTATAAAAGTAGAAGTCATATGCAATATTCTCTAGAGTTTTTTTTCCCATTAAATTTATTTGGTTTGCCTTTACGTATTCACTTCAGCACACTGCACACATTCAACACAGCTGAAGATTCTCAGAAACCTTTACATCTTATATGCTTTGGTATTTTATCCTGTACTAGTGGTAACGTGACCTGAATACCATTTGTAAGGATCTGAAAGCTGTTGAGAAACTTTGTTTAATACTGACGGGCTTGGGTTTTTCCATGTGTTGTACCATCAGGCAAAAGGCTCCGCTCTCAGTTTCTGGTGATATTTTTTGGTTAAGTGAAAATAAAGTGGAAGGAAAACTTTACTGCAGTAAACATTGAACCAAATGTTCAGAATGAGGAAGTGACACCACGAGCATCCAAATAGTCAGAATACAAATTAAATCACCAATGGGAGATGTACAAAACCTTGCTGTAAAGATCAACTGACATTAGAGTATTTTAATTATACTAACCAAAAATATATACACAAAAATGTGTATTATACATATACTTTAAAAAAGCCAAACAAACAACTGTGTTCCATGAGAATCCACTATGTAACCATTAGCAAAATGCACCTACTGTAGCAACAGAAGCAAATTTTGGCTGCATTAGGGTTATAGGTACTTACTATTAAGAAAATGAGAAACAACTTGCATTAAAAGTTGAAGCCAGAAGGAAGTTACAGTGGTCACAGAGAAACAAATCTATAAAACCTCATCCCATCCAACTCCCACTGATTTCAGTAGATGAAAACGGAGCGCGGGTCATAGGTCTTGACTCTGCCTGTTGGATTTTGCTCTCACAAGCTTCAAACAGTCTCTACATTCATCTACATTTTCTCACAAGGCAGTAGCCACTAAGCCACACTAAAATCTACATAATTACTAAATTGAAATGATATTTGATATCTTTGTTCCCTGAATCATTTACATAACAAGTTATATAAAGGCTGAACCAACTGCAACAAACTTCTGGCATTTTCTACAGCAAAAAGTCATTTTACCTCTATCAGAAGAAAACTCCTTCAACAGAGGCTTGAAAAGGTTTTATAAAATCTCAGTATTAAGCTTACAGTAGTAAGAAATTGGTTCTGGTCACTTGTCTTAGTAAATACAAACAGCTAGATGTCATTTGTACTAAAGCAGCTTATGACTAAAATTCACATTTTGTTTTTAAAAGATGGAACAACAGTTGTTTTAAGAAAAGCAGATTATTCCCATTTCTCAACAAGTCCTTACTTTAATTCAGAACATACGGCCTTGATGGACACTAGATGTCTGATAGCCAAATGAAACAGCCGAGACGGAGGGGCAGAAATAATAGTTTGCATGCCACAAATATGCTTCACTGGTCACTTATATTTGGCAAGTGTACAATTAAGCTGATTTACAAAGGTTGAAATAGTGTCATTCCAATTACGTGGACCAAACAGTGGTGCTGAGCTTTTCAACGTTCTCAATTTTCTTGAAGTGAAACAAGGAGGCAGTAATCCAAATCCAAGAGCTCTGGGCTGACAGAAGAGGCTGCCGTTGACAGTCTGATTCCTGCCCCATCATCTGTGACTAGGGAAATACTGGGAGTTCTTCAAATCGGTTTTTCAGCAGGTCAGCCGCAACACTGACAGCAGATCAACTGCGGAAAGACAAAACAAAATACCCTCACACACACGCATAAAAGTTTAAACAGATGATCTTCTAGTTTCACACTGCTACAAGTGTGAAAAAATAGACAGGTTAATGTTCTTTTTGAAAAGAAAGAAACCAATTAAGAACACACAAACACCTTTCATTGCTTTTTAAAAAACATCCCAAGTTTTGTATTTTGTGGATTCATTCTACTGATGAGAATTATGAAAGTAAAATGGGAGAGATGGCGGTATGGTAATGGAAATTACCCAGCTTCATTTGCAAATAATAATACCCAACCCCACAACCCGAAAACCTGAACTTTAAATATGACCCTACCTTCTGACCATGGAGATGCTTTCATTATATAATTAATTCTATTTTACCTCATTTGACACAAGTGCTATAGTATTTGAAGCCAGAGTTTAGGAGCTCTGAATTTACAGAAATTATAACGTATCTTTTGTGTCTTTTGGAGGAGACTTAGGGAACACCTCCCCGTCCCCACCAAAAAAAGAGAGAAAATTTTAGGGGTGCACCGATAGAGACTTTTTGGGCCAATACCGATGGCCACCCCAAAATTCGCCCTACCCTCCGCCCCCTGAAGCCCTGCTTCCAGAACCGCTGCCACCCGCCCCAAGGGTAGCCCACCCCAGCCCACCCTCCTCCCCCCCTAGGAAGAAGCCAGTGCCGTTCTGGCCCCAGCCTGCAATGGCAGCCCAATGGGCATGTCCCCCATGCCCTCCTGGGGTGCATGTAGCAGCGGGAGCTGCCCCCCCGCACCCCTCAGACAATCCGTGACTCTGTCCCACACCCTACCCCACCCTGGCTGTGCAGCGCCTGCCCCTGCCCCACTCCCTCCCTCACCACGGGAGCCCCCACGGGTGGGGGGCCTCTATCTGCCCCCCACCACGCCCCTTCCCTCCCCCAACAACAGAAATACCAGCCAATGCTGCTCTCCAAGCCACCAGGCTGCACTCCTGGCCATGTGCATGCACAGCATATTTATTGGACATATTATCGGCCACATCAAGCAAAAAAAGCCAACTGCCAATACTTTCAATTTTCCCTATATCGGTGCCAATCCAATATGGGACCAATGTATCAGTTCAACTCTAGAAAATGTATTAAGTTGTCTAAAATAGCTATGATGAAATAAATAAAAAGAAAATAGCAGCAATTCAGATGCCACCATTACAGTAGAGTAACTAGGAGTGGATGAGAGGGGCACCAACCCCTGGGTGCTGACTTAGGAGGAGCGCCAAAATCTTCCCCAAACTGACATTACAGTCTACACCACACTGCTACTGATTTACAAACAAGAGCCAGGGCATCCAGAGCATGTGCAGGCAGCAGCAGCAGCAACTGGAGACTCATTACAACTCCTGTGCCTCTCCTGCAGAGTTTGCCCAGGGTATAAACTCTGCTTGTTATACTACTGCATCACTAAAACTATTCAGGAGTCAAAAAATTATACCTGCAAGTGCCAGCTATATAAAGCACCTTATGAAAAAAATGATTATATCTTGACATCATTTTCTATTTCAATTAAGCTATACTTCTGTGCTTCTGGAAATCACATTATTATTATTCTCGGATAGCATAGGTTCAGGACTTTATTCCTGAAACCATGAGAAATCCACATCTTGTAGACCCTGCAGCATCACAGTTATTCCAGATATATATTTTACAATGTATTACAGTCAATTCATAAGCAATCATAATTCATAACCCAGACTTTTCCAAAAGATAGATTCAGGAATTAAAAATACCTACCAACATCCCACATATTTTACAAAATAAAAGCTTTATGACTTTATGAAACCTGGAAACTTTTCCTTTGCTCAGTCTACCTCTTAACAATGGAACAGAAAAAGATCTTCTTCCAGATCTCACAGAGTAAAAAGACCTGCGTCCACACTGCATTGATTGAGTTTTATCTATTTCACATATTAAAGACTTAACAAAACCTTAAAAGCTCTGAAACTTCAAAATACTGCAGAAATGTGATTGTTCTCACTAGCCTAAGAAAATCCTAACTTTTCTTCCCACAGAAGGATTTCTTGAAGGTGCTTTATATTGTGTAAGCAAAACCTTTTTGTTATTGAAAAAAAAAAAAAATCAAGGGAAGACATGGAATATCGTTACTTTTTTTTTTTAATTAAGGGCCAGAATACTCTGCCAGCCAGGACACTTGGACTTTAACCCTGGTCTCACATGCTTACTGACTAGCCAAGGGCTGGGATACCCCCTAATAGATCCTAAAGCGATTACATCTGTTCCCACACTCCTGACTGACTGTTGTTCATTAGGCAAGAGAGGATCAGGCTACAATATCTCAACCTCACATGTTCTTTCCTTTGCATGGAAATTGATGTCTATTAGCTGAAGCTCAAAAATCAGAGACTGTGTATTTGTTGTATCATGATCTGCCACTAAACAAACCAAAAACATGGGTATTGAGAACCATTTCAGTAATTTTTTTAGTCCATAAGGGGAACCATTTAAGAAGCAAAAGTAGAGAAAGCAACTCTACAATTACAATGACTTGATGTGTTCTATATAGCATCTAAACAACTGATAAGCAATTGTGTGGCTAAGCAGTAGTTTCAAGTCTGGTTTTTCATTTTATTCTGTTACACTTACAAAAAAAAAAAAAAAAAGGAAAAAAAAAAAGAAAGAAAAAAAAGTGCAGTTGATCGGCTATGACATTTCAGCAAAACAGACCAGCACTGACATTAAGCCAGTGCACAATGCCCGTCAGCAATCATTTATAGTGGCTATTTGATACTCTGAGTACCAGAAGTGTTCCATTATAAAAGCCTATTATTAGGATTGTACAAGCCACACTTCAAGCACGTGGAATACTCCTGAACATTCAGATACTTTCCCTGAGTACTGAAACCCCTGAGCTCTTACTAAACTGGGAGAGCATCAGCATCTCTGGATTTTTATTGGTAACTGTAATCATGAGGAATCGGGAACTTTTTTCTAGACTTTCCAGAAAGTCAGTAAGTTTTTTCTTTGTTTTTTAATATTTTCATATTCCTAATGGTCCCTAATGGAAAATGAGATCAAAGCAATTGCCATTGAACACGAATCTGATTTCACTGACCCACAACCAAGAGAAAAATAAGCTCCCCACTTTATTGATTTCTGCAGCTGTTACTGGCTTGGTTGCTTTAAGTCCAACAATTAGAAGAAAAGACCCAAAACAAAAAGGCGGAAAGCTAAATAATATGGTGCCTGACTGGAGTGCAAGCTCTACCTCATACCTCGTGCATAGCAGGAGAAATTCTCAGACTGAGGACACTCAACTGGAAAACTTAATTCTTAGATATGTTCTGTACTAGAGATACATCTTTATATACAATGGGTGCGTCTACACGTGCACATTTACTGCACAGTAACCTAAATTACTGTGCAGTATGGGCACGCAACTACACATGTACACCAGTACTGCACAATAAATATAGCGACTTACGCCGACTTGGGTATAAATTTGATACCTGCATCGTGCACACATGTAGACACCTTACTATGCAGTAACACTGCGTATGTGGGCTGACTTCAGTCCACGCACAGTGTTACTGAGCTGTAATGCCTGCCGTGTACATGCCGGCCTAAACCCTCTAACTGCACAATAATTTACTGTGCAGTAAATTTAACGCACAGTAAATGCACATGTAGACACACCCAATATAGAGTGTATTTTATAGTTTCTTTTTGAACGGATCTAAATTTTCCCAGGAGTCTAATTTATGCTGCAATTCTCAAAGCTCTGTAGTGTTACTAGCCAAGTTAGTCTACTGAATAAAAAAATACATAAAATGGTCAAGTATGTAAAACTTTTATACAATAGCTTGAGTTCAATGTTTTACAGTTTACTCCAGCAGAGTACTTACAGCATTTCACATTTAAGATCTTATGCATTTGCCCAGGCAGGGGAGCTTTTTAAAAGGAAAGTCATTCAGCTTTCCCCAACTCCCCAGCAAACACGCACTTTAACAGTGGGTGGAATATCACTATAGCTATAACTACAATTTGTACACTGCAGTGACACTGAACAGTTGGGATTGCTTTTCAATTTACTGCATTATACAAAGAATTTCCCCATGACCACTGTCACTATAAGCAGGTTCCACTAACTATATTTAGATATTCTCTATACAACTGTGGTGGGAAAGAACGGTGGGGGAAAAATACAGCTCACGTCAGGCTGATTCTTGCTATCAGCTATAGCAAAAGCTCTGGTCTAATCTACCCTTTTGAAGGGGCAGAAGGAGGAAGCAAAATGTACGCATAAACCTAGAAATTACTTTTTACAGTATTCGAAAGAAATTGTCTAACTCTCTGCTTCACACTGTAGATTTTAGAGGAAAGAGGAGAGTAAGTTATCTCTGGTACCATTCTCACTAAATTATACTGGGATAATTATGGGAAATAATATTAGGACAAACTTACAAAGTCAGGTATCCTTACATCAGTGTTGTGGCTGTTCAGGACTGATGTTCATAGTTCTGTATATCTCTTTGAGAAGCAGCAAGGCAGTATCTTCAGATTCCCTGTGAACAGAAAAGGCTTGTTAATTATTTATAAATCAACTTTATTTCTTCAGAGACACACCTCACCTTAACCTATAGCACATTTGGTATCTGTAGAAAAAAAATACACATGCAACATGATCTTCCTGATCACTGAGGCTCATAACCTCTCTCACTGGACTTGTCAAGTTGCCATTTGCCTCTCATCTAGGCTTTCATTTGCATTCTTTCCTCTTGATCCCCACTGTTAACAGGGCTGGTGTCTTATCTTTTGTGACAGTTAGAGCAATTAAGTCCTTCCTGTCCTCACTACTTCACCTCTCCTTTAATATGCTGCAACTAAAAATCTTCTTTGTTGTCATATCCACCACTTCAATATTATTCTTCTGCTTGAATTCCTCCATTTTGGTATCCCATCACAGTTGCTGTCCTAAAGTTCCTGTTCCAGCACATACCCTGCCAACATCTCATCTATCAAGCCTTCAACTTGCATTTTTCTGATTTTTACCCCAAAGTCAGAATTCAGAATATCCTTCCCAAGTCTCTGAACAAACCTCTCCTGGTGGGCAGGCACCACACTTATACTTTCAGGATATGCTATCAGGCCCAATCAGAACATTACGCGTGCATATGTTACATAATTGTATAAAATAATCATTCTCCTGCCCAAACCAAGAACAATTCAAATGGCATAGTATCTCATTATACTCCTCTCTTCCTCCTTAATCATAGGCTGTTACAGAACCTCATCTTATATTCTGAGGGCTAAGGCCTCTCCCCAAGAAACTGACTTGTCTGTAAGATGTTACACACATCTATGGCTATTACAAAATAAAAGTGAAATGTTCAATTTAAAATAGTTTTTTTAAAATCAAATATGTAAATATTAGACAGTGAATGGCAAAAATGCTTTTGCAATTGCCACTGATGGCTATAACGAGCATGACAAGAGCCTTAATGTAAAGCTACCACACAATTCCACAAAGAGGACAATCTGAATTCTTGGGTCATTAGCCACTGCACTGCTCTTACTCAGATTATGCAAAAGAACAACGAATTTTTAGGCAGGTAACTATAACTACAGACTGCCACCTTGTGGCAAATAAATACTACTACTTAGAATAAAGATAATACAGACAAGATGCTGCATGTCCTTGAAGAAGAAAATCACTACTATGGGAATTCATCATCAATTGCTCAGGGGAAATCCAATGACTAGAGGCAAATAGTTGATACTGCTCATAGACATAACGACTGGAGCATCAATCTGAATATCCCATATGCTGTCAGCAATTGATTTACCATGCTTTAAAATCAGGGGGGTCAAATTAATCTGGCCCCGTTGGGCAGATGAATGGCACAGGATCGACTCATGGGCTGGATCAAACTATGCCCCTCCTATGCCTGCTCCAGCACAGGCAGCATCCACTAGGTTAGTCAAGGACACTGGCCCAAGTGAGCGCAGCAGGCAGCACACACCCCAGAAGCTGCATGTAGGGATGGTCAGGCACAGCAAGAGGGGCAGTACCAGGGGATGGATTATGGGGCTCTGTGGGCTGGATCCAGCCCCAGGCAGTATATTTCACAGTAAGAGCCCCTGTTAGAAACACTAAGAGACTCAATAAAGTTTGATTTCAAGCTTCATGCTTTATTTTTTAAACTATTTATTTTATTTTCCAGAAGCACTTTGGCACATGCTAGTAAGCACCTACTCGTGTCTCTGACTATAAAAATTACAAAGCTAGTTTTATTTAGCAAAGAGGAAAAACAAATTGGAAATAGCTCGTTTAGTTTCCTTTTGTTGAGTCAAGTATCAACTGCCATTTGCAACAAGATGCAATCATTTGGTTTCTTAGGATCAGTTGTTGCTCATTTTATATAGAAGCTGTGTTATCAAATACAGTTTATGTACCATCTGAAAATAAACAGGCAATGCCACATATATGGAAGATTTATGCATCTTATTGCACAATTATAAGATGCACAAAGTGAGCAATTAAGAATGTGTAAGAGAAAAAAAAACAGATTGATAGCTTTCTTAATAGTGTATTGCATGGCTGATTATATGTTGATATTGAAATCTGCTCATTTTATATTCATGTGCCATAAACAGTTTTGATGGCAATATGAGCAACAATGGCATGTAAGTAATGAGTTATAAAACAAGATCTACCATGACAATGTTTCTTTTAATTTTTATTGTTATTGTTGAACTCTCATGACAGTGTCCCTACCCCCCCTATTTATTCCCCCACACAATAAGTTTTGGTGCTCTACTGTCATTTCTTCAGGAAGAGTGATTTGAAAAAAATGTAGTTATCAAAACGTTCACGGTGCTCTCATCTTGCTTGGAAAATGATCATTGTTACAAGCATGTGTTGTGTGTATCCAGTTCAGAACAGGGGTAAAGTGAAGGCAAAGCATCCTACTGGAGAAAGGAATATAAATTTGTTTTTGGGGTAAAAGCTGTTCACATTTCAGAAAAAAAAGATAATGCTATGTAGATGGCTTTGTGTACTTTTGAGAGTGACATTCAATGATAACCTCGGGTGCGGGGACAGGAATTAAAGGACTGGATGGTTTCAAAGCAACAATATCATACACACACCAAAAATACCATGACAAACTCTAAGTAGAGTAGACTGAAAACACCATCTGCAAGATAGGTCAGTCTATAAATAAAAGTGTGCAGCCACAGAAACGTAAGATATCCAGAAAGGGAACCCTATTAAAGAGCTGACTCTTCAAATAAAGAATTAAAAGAATTCCTAACTTAGCAGGGTTAAAAAGGGATAAATTACAAACAAAGAAAAATTAAATCAGAGTTCAGGCCAGGAGGCTCAGATGGAGCAAGAATGTTTTCAGAGAGATGGGCAGATGGCCTAAAGTAGGTCTTCCAATTTCTAACTTGTTCGAGTAGTGTGTACAAATTCCATGTGAATGCACACAGGCAATATTTAAATCAGAAGTCTGAGATTTAAAAAGCAGTCCAGCATTCCCCTGATAAGGTGCTTATTAACATGACTTTGAAATTGCAGGTCAGACAGAAAGAACTGAGGTGTTTATGCTCTTGGAGATAGCTTGAATTAGCATACCACTCAAAAACAGCAAAAAAGTTACATAGACATTTACAAGGCTTTTACTCAGCTTTACATTAGAAGCCAAGGAATATTTCATATTGAGTTGGTGATGAGATCTTGCCAAAAATAGGAAGAAGATAGTGGCAGAAGGCTTCTTTAAACAGAAGAATAGATTTTATTCTGATTTATATTGAGTAGAAAATCTGTCCCTCTGGAATAAAACTTCCTAATGCTAAAAATTCATAAGCCGTGTCCAGACGAGTGCAGCCATGTGGTATGCGGCACGGCAGACCCACCTGCAGCACAACACACCACACATTCAGGTGTTTCCTGCACTGCTACCTTGCAGCATAGGAGGTTTTTTTGATCCTGGGACATCGCAGGGCCAAAAAACCCACGTGAAAAAAAAACCTGGGTGGCAGCGCACACTGCCCAAAAATGGAGCCTAACCAGCTTGAGTCACACCCCAACTGTTGTCCAGGCTCCTAGCGGCAGGATCACCCTGGCTGCAGCTCCCTGAGGCCCCCACATAAGGCTGCTGAGACCAGCACAGTTTTGGCCCCAGACTCCTCTACCCCACCTGGGTTAACTGGTCAAGGCACAGGTGTTCCCCAGGGCCACATAGCAGTGGCACTGCTTCTTGTCCCCGGGGAAACAAATGCCCAGGCTGACATGGCCATATGCACTAAAATCCCTGCCTCACCACATAACAAGCAAGGAAATCACCAGAATGGTTTTCCTTTCCATCATGATTCAAAACTGGAAGAGAAAATATTTCTCCCAAAGAAGACACTTGACCTACATCACATATTTGTTACTTGCTTTAGACATTTTTATATGGTCCCTATTACTGTAACCCTGATCACTGGATAATATTTAATCTCCTTATCATCCTAACACCTTTGGGTGGCAGGAAAATGGTTTTTCAGCACAAGGAATTAAGGTAGTGAGACTAAGGGTAATATTTTCAAAAAGGCTTAGATCCTAAATCACTTAAACACATTTCAAGAGTCCCTTTGGTTTTCATTTTAAAAAAAAGAACTGGGCTTCAGGGCTTGCTCAAGATCACACAAATGGCCTCCCAAGTTCTAGGCTACCATCGTAGCCACTGGAACATTCACTTTCAGGACAGTTCATAGTACACTGCTGTGTCAAAGATAACCCAGTTTTACCTCAGCTCTGATGTGTACTAGCAATATCACAGCAAAATTACTTATTTTCTGCTTGCTATTGTTTCTAGCTTGCACCTAATATGTTCTTTATAACACTTCACTAAGCCCCATTTTGAAGAACAGGCAAAATATATTTCTGTCAAAAGATAATCAGAAATGAAGTGTATGTGCATGGTATTTTGGGGATCCTCCAAGATTTTGTTATTAAAAATACTCAGAACAGAATGTATTAAAGAGTTAAAACTGTAATTGCACTGGGAAAGCAATTTTTGTGGATGTGTGGAAGTGAATATTTAATTCTTACCAATAACACAGGTGACTCTGTAGAGCAAAAAGGTATTCATTGAAGCTTTCTATTGGTTTTTCTTGCAAAACATAATCAATACGGCGTCCTCCATTTAGCATTCCAACCTTCACAGATAAATCCTCATCCTTCAAAAGATCTGGACTTTCAGTGATCTTTTCAACTACAATTCAAGAAGTAGTAACATTTCAGCCAGTCACAAGTACAATCATGCCTGACTGTTCAGTTCCATCGCTGTCAATAATTATCACAATCAAGAAGCAAACAGATTAATGAACATATGGATTGATATTGAGATTAAGTCCAAAGAGTATATCTACCTGCAAAAGCAAATTATTGCAATCTGTGTCCCTCAGCAGTAATGACCATCATCAGTTTTGCCTGCATGAAACTAAGGAACTGTTTGCTCATTCTGCACAGATATAAACTCAATACACACTGGTAAATGAATACCTGCCGCACAAGTCACAGCAGGCAGGAAACAAGCTCTTTGCCTCCCAAAAGACTAACATCTCTGTCTAAGTAATACTCTTACAGTATTTATCTTTGTTTCTGCACATATACCCAATACTTAATTTTTGTCCTGTCAAATTTTTGTCCTAATCAAAAAGCAGAAACTCTCCAGATGTGAAAAAACTTGTTTGTGCTCATTTTGGTTAGACTACAGCTGGGAAGATATATCAGAAAAGACTTTTAGTGTAAAGTGTTACATTTATGTACAGGACAAGGAAATACCATAGCAAATATGAAAAGTTAGGTTTCCCTAACAAGATCAGGATGTAATTCAAGGACATAACATTTAACCATTTAACAACTGTTTGATATTAATATGCTAACAGCACACTAGTAGAATGCCAGCCTACCTTCTACCACTTGTTTTTCTTCTTCTTCTTTAATCTGATTAGCTACTTTCTCCAGTTCTGCCTGCAGCTGAGTTGAGGAGGTGTGAGCACGAGCAAAATCATTAAGTGTCTGCCAGGCACTCTTCAATGAACTGATAAAGCCTTGTTTCAGATCAGCTCCCATTCGAGAAAGAGAGTCTTTCAGCTCTAAAAAGATGACCATACCAAAAGTATTTAGTTAGTGCCCATCTAAAAACAAAAAAGTTTCAAATAAAAAAAATCCCTCTACTGTCCAAAGGCACCCATTTTTTGGTAGATATATGCCCATCATGCTGTCAATATGATCTTTTACCATTTCTCTTATTTAAAAGAAATTGGAAAATATTCTCTCCATGAAATCATTCTTTCGCCACTTATAATTTTTCTAAATAAAAAGTTAGAGAGAAGTATTTGCTAAGTTCTATTAAGAGTAGCAAACCAAAGAAAGGAGACTTCTTCCTCAGTTTGCTTCTAACTCTTGCATTTGTAGTATAAAAAGTTTGAATTTGCAAGAGTTTTCAAGTCCAAAGTTGTGATCCAAATCATGGTCTCCAGCCACTTAAAGTCTCACTGTGTGCCTCCCTAGTGTAGCCTGAAAGCTTCCTACATGCCTGTAGCATCAGTTCTACATGAGCATAGAGCTGTTCTAGTCTGAGTAGCTAATTCCCACCCAAATCCACTGGCACTGAGAACTAGACAGAATAACACCTAAGACCTCAGAGAGACCCAATATGACAGGGAGGCTCAGAACATGCCTAAAACTCATCAATAGGATTGGGCTCTGTACAACATGTAAGCTGTCATTCAGCAGTCACCAAGGAAAGAAGAGAAGGAAGGAGGTGATGCTGCTGCCCAGCCTCTATATCAGGGGCAGGCAATTATTTCAGGCAGAGGTCTACTTACTGAGTTTTGGCAAGCCATCGAGGGCCGCATGACAGGCAGCCAGGGACAGATAAATATTGAGTAAATTTTTTAAGGGCCCCGTGGGCCAGATAGAATGGCCTGGTGGGCCGCATCTGGCCCGCGGGCTGCATTTTGCCCACCCCTGTTCTATGTAGCGTTTTAATGACTGGAGTACTTGCCCAGGAAGACAGAGTTCTGGTTCCAATTTTCAGGTTTTCAAAAAAAATTAGTAATTATGGATGCTTGAGACTCTTTAAATAGGTGTAATTTCAGAACAATCAGAACCTGCCCTTTGCAATTAAGCATCTTCAGAAGAATGTCAAATTAGGCACTCCCCCAGTGTGCATCCCCACCTTCTCAGCCCCCCAAAATATCACCAGTCTCTTGGGAAGTGGCTTAAAACATTTGTTACATTAAAAAGTTGTAGAAAACATATATAGGTAGGTAGGCAGGTAATCTGGACTTTTTTTTTTTTATTATTTACCAAGATGAAGTCTTTTTCTGCCTTTGTGATGTGGAATGAGAACTGGTTTTACATCCAAGTGTGGAATAATCATAGGTTCTAACCTGTAAGCTACTGGGTCAAGCTGTAAACGAAAGGAAAATCAGAATCAAAGATAAAAAATTGCAAATTTACTCAAAATTTTAATTAAATGTCAGTATAAAAAACCCAAACCTGTTAACTATTAGCAAAGATAAACATTTGTGAATTCTGTTCTACTTCAGTTTCATACTTAGCTCACTAATGTTCATTTAAATTTCAAAGTTGCTGCTGGTTCATGAATCAGTAAGTTTTCATTCTAAATTCAGACACTCTAAGGAATATAATAACAGAAGAGAGCAAAATAATGCTAACGTGCTGCATTATGGGCACAGAGTATCCTTCACTAGAGAATTAGCACACCAGTAGTCACTGTGCTAAACCAGTGGCTCCCAACCCCTTCTTTTGCTGTGACCCTAAATCTGGGCTGCGACCCCTGCCCGGCAGTGCCAGAAGAGCCCAGGCCAGGCTGGGATCACAGGGGGCAGCAGCGGTGAGAGTCGCATGGACAGTGCACCGGGAGAGCCCTGCAGGCAGGAGAGGCAGAGTGAGGGGCGGACTCCGCACGACGCTGATTTGAGGTGGGACCTGAGGTTGGAAGCAACTGCGCTAAACTATGCACGAAAGCGAGCTGGGGCAGAAGAAGACAACTAGTGCATCTCTTGTTCCAAAAAACGCATACAACTGACTGGTTTGTACCAGTAACGTATTGGGTGCAGACAGAAGTGCAGCTCCCCACTGTAACCAAGAACCAAGGGAAGGGGAATGTAGCAATGGTTGCAAGCCTGCAGCTGGTTTCCCCGAGCAATAGCCTTTGCTCAAAGCTGGGCTGCCAAGTTTTCATAGTGGGAGTGGGGAAAGGAAGCAGAGGGAGCTCATTCTAAGGGCTCCCCAGCCAGCACTGGAGGGTGGGGTGCGTGAATTGGAGCCCCCCAACCTGGAGAGGGCTCCAGTACACCCACCCCACCTTTCAGCAAGGGCTGAAAAACCTCCAGAATAAAATCCCTTTGTTCCTTCTCCCCTCCCATTCTGAAAACAGCTCAAGGCTGGCAGGCAGGGCAGACAGAAGTTACAGAAGAGGGTCTGCTTTGAAACATCTTCATCTGACCCCTCATACAACGAGGGGTCAGATTTTTACCCGACTGGCCATTTTTTAAGCTGTCTGCAGCCATGCACTTGTGTTTGGTCATGCCTATAAACTGCTTTCAGTGGCCAGATAAGGTAAAAATTGTCACTTCTGTCTGTGCCAAAGAGCACCATGGCTGAGGCATTAAAAAAGCCAGAGAGAGCACCATGACAAAAAAGCAATCCCTAAAGTTTACTATTTAGATTCCAGAAAATGAACTAGGGCTTTGGCAGTTGGGCTTGGTAATCAGGCTTACTATTTATTAAATGCACACCTTCCCAAAAGCCACCATTTCTCTGAACAATCTATAACACTCCTTATTTTTTTTAACTTATTAGAAGATAAATGCAGTTCTTTCCACCTTCTTTCTATGTTAATTGAAATTCAATCTCAGAAGCACTTCTCACTTACTGGATGGTAAATATTGAAGAATCCCTTGCAGGTAGGAAGTCTGTAGTTTTCATCAATCTTCTCTACTCCTCGCACAGTGAGGAACACACCAATTGGAGAACCAAGGGCAAAGAAAATTTCTGGTTCGAAATCTAGAGTACTGTGAACCACGGAAACCTAACAGGCACAGAGTAATGAAATAAAATAAATGGTTTCTCAGACTTGGCAGGCAATTAACTTTAAACCTAACTAGAAAAAAAATCATATTTGACTTAGTAGGCCAATAATCCACAAGCACACTCCAGTGCAGAAGAAATAATTTCATAGTAGTTAGGGGTCAGAAGGGACCTGAATAGATCGTCTAGTCTAACCCCCGCCACTGGCTGGAGCACACGCTGGGATCACACGACCCCAGACAGGTGTTCATCCAACCTCTTTTTGAATTTACCCAAGGTAGGAGCGAGGACTCTCTAGGAAGTTGGTTCCAGATCCTAGCTACCCTGACAGTAAAATAGTGCCTCCTAATCTCTAACCCAAGCCTATTCTCTAGCAGCTTCTGGCCATTGTTCCTCATCACCCCAGGTGCTGCTGGGGGGAATAGGACTCTTCCTATTTGCTGCTGATATCCCCTAACGAGTTTGTAGGCAGCCACCAAATCCCCCCTCAGCCTCTGCTTGCTGAGGCTGAACAGGTTCAGGTCCTTCAGCCTCTCCTCATAGGGGCTGCCCTGTTGCCCTCCAACCAAGTGGGTGGCCCTCCTCTGAACCCTCTCAAGGCAGGCCACATCCTTCTTAAAGTACGGTGCCCAGAACTGGACGCAGTGCTCCAGTTGAGGCCAGACCAATGTCATGTAGAAGGGGAGTATCACCTCTCTGGACCGGCTTGAGATGCATCCTTGGATGCATGACAAAGTGCGGTTGGCTTTGCTGGCTGCCGTCTGGCATTGGCGGCTCATGTTCATCCTGGAGTCAATAATGACTCCAAGATCCTTTTCTGCCTCTCTGCTCGCAAGGGGGGAGCTCCCCAGCTTGTATGTATGCTGTGGATTCCTTCTCCCCAGGTGCAGCACCCTCCATTTATCTACATTAAACCCCATCCTATTACCATCCGCCCACCTCTGTAGTCTGTCTAAGTCTAATTGCAGCCTCTCTCCCCCTTCGAGTGTGCCTACCTCTCCCCACATTTTGGTGTCATCGGCAAACTTGGACAATGTGTTTTCCACCCCCTTGTCCAAGTCGCTGATGAAGATGTTGAACAGTGTAGGCCCCAGGACTAAGCCCTGGGGGACCCTACTGTTCACATCCCGCCAGGTCGAGTACGACCTGTCCACCACCACTCTCTGGGTGCGCCCCATTAGCCAATTTTTGACCCATCCAACTGTGTGGGCATCAATGCCACAGTCGCTCAGTTTATTAATGAGAATGGGGTGAGAGACAGTGTCAAAGGCCTTCTTAAAGTCCAGAAAGACTACATCCACGGCGACACCATCATCCAGGGATTTAGTTACCTGGTCATAAAAGGCCGTCAGGTTGGTCTGGAAGGACCTGCCTTTGATGAACCCATGTTGATTTTCCCTTGGCATGATCTCCCCTGCTGGCCCCTCACAGATGTGCTCCTTGATAATTTTTTCAAGGATTTTCCCCAAGACCATTGTGAGGCTTATGGGCCTATGGTTTCCCGGGTCCTCCTTCCTTTCTTATAGATGGGGACCACGTTAGCTAGCTTCCAATCTCCGGGCACCTGGCCCATGGACCACGATCGCTTGTACAGCCGGGCCCGGGGCACAGCAATCCCATCCAACTGTGTGGGCATCAATGCCACAGTCGCTCAGTTTATTAATGAGAATGGGGTGAGAGACAGTGTCAAAGGCCTTCTTAAAGTCCAGAAAGACTACATCCACGGCGACACCATCATCCAGGGATTTAGTTACCTGGTCATAAAAGGCCGTCAGGTTGGTCTGGAAGGACCTGCCTTTGATGAACCCATGTTGATTTTCCCTTGGCATGATCTCCCCTGCTGGCCCCTCACAGATGTGCTCCTTGATAATTTTTTCAAGGATTTTCCCCAAGACCATTGTGAGGCTTATGGGCCTATGGTTTCCCGGGTCCTCCTTCCTTTCTTATAGATGGGGACCACGTTAGCTAGCTTCCAATCTCCGGGCACCTGGCCCATGGACCACGATCGCTTGTACAGCCGGGCCAGGGGCACAGCAATGACCCCTGCCAGCTCCCTCAACACCCGTGGGTGGAGGGCATCAGGGCCCGCAGATTTAAAAACATCCAGCCCTTCCAGAAGATCCCTAACTACTTCTGCGCAGACCCAAGGCCTGGCAGTGCTACCCTCAAGATTGTTTTCTTGGACAGGGAACAGGACAGCTCTCCCACCACAGGTAGGGGCAGAGGCAAAGGACTTGTTAAAGATTTCGGCTTTCTCGTCTGGCGTCTAAGTCTAACAGGGGCCCTACACTACCCGGTGCCTGCTTCTTACTCCCAATGTATTTGAAGAAGGACTTTTTGTTGTCCTTAATCCCGGCCACTAGCCTAAGCTCCACCCCCACCTTGGCCTTCCTAATGGCCATCCTACACTCACGGGCCAAGGAGGAGTATTCCTCCTTGGTGATAGCCCCTCTCTTCCACTGGGTGTACGCCTCCCTTACGGCCCTCAGGCATTCTCGAATGTCTTTGCTGAGCCATGGGGGTTTCAAAGCACTCTTACCCCCCTTCTTTCTCTCAGGGACTGTTACACTCTGAGTCTGGAGGATCGTCCCCTTAAGGTATGACCATCCCTCATGGATTCCCATAACCTCTACCTTTTGGGCCCTCAGTGCCTCCCCCACTGATCTCCTAAGTTTGGTGAAGTTGGTTCGTTGAAATGATCTGTCAACACTGTCTATAAAGAGAACACTTACAAAGACACCTTAAACTCACACTTCTTTACTGGATTTAACCCAAACTAAGAGGAGGTATCAGTGCTTTAAAAAAAAAAAAAAAAAAAAAGGAATAGTTCACCTTTAAGAAATTAATGAATAGTTCAACAGGCTATTCAAATTTTAGATCTACAGAGTTACAAAAAAATGAAATATGTAAGTATCCAAAGAAAACCTAGTGCAGGGGGACTGCGCCTTATGATCTACAAGGTCCCTTCTAGCCCCTACAATCTATGAAAACCTAACTGACCACTCAGCAATGCAGCCATAATATGCTCTTAATGTAAGAAACCATGATTTAGTAGCGTGGTTTAAACATAGTTTACTGGGCTGCTGAAAGGGAAAAAATGAATCGTGATGGCTTCATTGCTAAAAAGACAAGCCCAGGTTACATTAGCCAACCCTCCCCAACCTACCTGCACACTGACAGATACTGAAGTCCTATGCCTGACTATAAGTGGGATACTAAAGCAGCCTTAAGAAAACACATACAAGACTGTTCTAAACCAATCATTTGAAGTTATACAATCTTACCTGGCCAGTACCAACTTCAAAATACTCATATTCAATGCTCACAGAAGAAACAGAGGCACCCACAGGAAGCTTTCTCTTTGACTGCTCCTGTAGTCTACCACGTTCTATAGAGGAGACCGAAGAAACTGCTTCTTTTGCCTTCTGAGCAGTTTCTTGAGCTTGCATCATTGCTTTTTTTTCTGTTATTGCCTTTTTCTGTTCCTATTAAAACAAAGCTTTGATTTAAACTGATTTACTAGAGATCTCAGGAACACGCTATTCTCCACCCTCCTCACCACACACTCCCTCCCCCAAATCCTGAATTGGTAAACATAACTATGGGAATCTAAAATTAAGGATTTGTGGCACATGAAGCAGGAAAACTTTCAGGAAGTCAAATAAAGGATTAAATATAAAAGACAAAGAAGCCAAACTGTATTGCTGAAACAGCAAGCACCACATTCTTTGATTTTTTCCAGATGATGATGATGGATTGGTAACTAGATGTGGTAACACCAAAGTTTAGTTTGTGTTAAGATTACTAAAAGAAGACAGCCAGAGAGCGTTCTTCCATTCATTAGTCTTTACAACTAGTATTGTTTATAGTGAAGTTAAAATTAGCTTTCTTTATTCTCTGGAAAAATCACAGAGATTATTAGTACCTGACTACAGAGTAGGAGAGAGAGAATTATCTGTGTATACAAGAAGTCATGAGCTACCTAGAATTAGTTGGTAGCTGTTTTAGAGTATTCTGCTATTAAGTGATTTTAACACTTAACACCAAGCTCTAGTGTTAAGAGTTAAAGCACCAATTTAAAGAAGTAATCTGAACCTGTAGTTGAAAAGAAATACCTTTTTAAGTGACTAATTAAAATGGATTTCAATTAATTAGGTTAAATGATATTTCAAAAACAATTAAAGGGCACAAACTCAAGGTCAAAAGATACAGGGGTATGTCATAGGACTGACTAGGACACAAAGGCAAAGCTAAGTCGTACTCAAATCTAGCTCCGATCAATATAGTCTCTAAAGATAATTTCCAGTTTTTGTTCAGTGGCCTACAGTGTTCCCTATAAAACAGACCTGCTTTGTTACTATTTTAATCTCTCTACATCAGCATTAATCCATGCCAACACATCAGTGCAGTGTGCTGATCAACAGTAATATAACAAAGTAAGTTTCACTGTTCAAACAAAATTTCTGAGCTTTAAACAATCACAGAGAAGCAGAGTTGGAAGGAAGGCCCTCTGGAGAGTATCTAGTCCATACCCCTGCCTGACATGATTCACTACCTCAACATTTTATCAGAGCCTTCACTGCTTCTGGATTCGCTGACGGTGGTACTTTTTAAATCAGCAGCAACTGGTTACAATGAAAGCTTTCACAAATTTTCATATAGGTGAGTCTGTCAACAGTTATGAAAAAGACAGTTTTTGCTAAAAAGCTCGGAAAAATTCAAGCAAAACTTTTGTTAAAATTCTCAGACAGTATAACACCCAGTCACATTTTTTCACTTCAGGTCTGGGGTGTCGTCCCCTTTAGGTCTACATGACATCAACTGCTGAACAACACCTAGAATAACTTCACCCGCGCATTCGCAGGTTTGAAGCATACAAGCAAGAACAGGTGGCACGTACTTGGGGTCATTCTGAGTTAGGTCACGCTGCGGCAGCAGCACAGTAAACTTGTCTTAAGACACCTAAGACCTGGCTACGTTTACCTCCTCATTTCTCCACACGCTCAATCACAGCAGATATGATTAAGGCTCCTGTTCAAAGCCAAATTGATGCATTTTGTATCCCATCAATTCCCCCCCCCCAGGATAGGAGGAACTAAGGTAAAAGCCGATTTTATCTAGTAAGGAATGTAGTGATTAGGGCATGGGAAAGAAACTATTCATAATGAGCCAATATGATCTGCCCACCAGCACTGTTCACTTTGATACATGTTATTTGATAGTAATTCAGTGCATAAAATAAAACAGGTCGGGCAAAATATTCTGAAGTAAACACGTAACTTCAGAATCTGAGGTCCACTGATTTGCAGCTAGGCATTTGAAAAAAAAAGCTGTAATGACTATTTGATTTTGTATGCTCTTCTGACAATATAAACACATAGTTTGGTTTAACCTTGTCTAGCTAAAAGTATATTAGGAAAGAAGGGAAGTTAGTATACCTGATGAAGTAAGATTTTTTTTTTTTTATACACACACACACACACACGTAATATGACCAACTTTTTTCAAATCAAGCAGTTATATAGCAAAGACCATCTTATATCATGTAACATCACAGTGAAAGGCTCATTGTTAGTAAAATCCCCCAGGTTCTTGAAACAATTTTCAACAGTTGGGCAGAAAATTCTTTATAAAGAAATAGTGTAGGTGCCTCCAAAAGTTGCCAAAAAACACTTTATACTTGAAAAACTCATTTAATTCAAAATGAAGGGGACCAGAAAGTGCTGACTTTGAAATAAGTGGGTTTGAAATAAAGGTACCCATACTGATTTGCATACGTGTATTTAGTTTAAAGGCAAAAAGCTCATGATATGGGATATAGTTCACTGGGCTGGACCCCAGCAAAGTCAACAGCATTTCAAGCCAGGGTTACCCCAGAGCTCAGCACTACTCAGTACGTATGTGAACTCCAGATATGCCCCACAAAACATATGCCAATTAGCCCCCACTTGCAACTGGAACTGCATGTCTTGTCATGAATCTTGGGACCCTCCAAAAACGTGTATGTAGACAAGGCACTGAGCTGCCTGGTCTGGCTCCACCCCAGGGAGGGCAGGGCCACACCAGTTGCATGCAACAGGCCACGAGAGGGGGCAACAGAGCCTCTCATCTACATACGCATTTGGTAACATTTGCCAGACATTAAAGGCTGGTGAATAAACAGAAATAATTGGAAACAGGACAGAAAGGCACTACTCAGCTTTGGGAATGAATAGGAAGTTGAGATGTATTTGACGTTGTGGTTCACTGTGACCTGAAATGGAGTCAGGGGGACAGAGTGTAACGGCTACTATGTCTTATTCAGGTAGGCTGTCCTAACTCAGCTTTATGGCAGGTTTCACCAGCATCTTTGCCCAGTATGGGCCTTGGTCTTGGAACATGTTTAGCATGGGCTGCTTTCAAACAACTTTATAGTTGATTTCTATGACTGAGCATATGCTGCAGCAATTAATGATAGATAACATTTTTAACAAGGTATTCCTGGTCCAAGGGACAAGAAAATGGCTTAGAATTGCAATGTAACCATACATTGAATTTTCTGCATTGTTATGCATACAAAAACCTATCCTTTTGGCTGGGGGGGGTGGAGGTGACAGTAGCATCAAAGTATCTGATACTTTAAACAATCCAATATCAATCTAACCTGTGCTTGGACGTGACAACAATAAGCATGTTAGATATAAAAGGAGTGAAATCATTTGGGCTACTATATAGCACCAAAAAGTTAGTTAATATAAACAGAAAAAATATGGGTGCACCTGCAATTAATGCAACACAAGAAACTCCAGAGCAGTGTTCACAGGAGTACATTGCTCCTGAGCACAGCATCTACACGTGCACCTGAGACAGCAGCACTTTGAACTGGAGACAGAGCAGCCCTGGGCTGGCAGAAGGGTGAGGGGGTCAGCCCCGAGCTCCGGACATTAGCAGCAGGCAGTGGAGGAGTTGGCTGGAGCACGAGAGTGTGGAGCCACGTAGGTGACCCCCTGAGCCTGCTGCCAGCCCAGGGCTGCTCCATCCCAACTGGAAGTGCTGCTGCCCCAGTCACTGTTCACACATACATTGCAGTGCAGTAAATGACTGTCCCATAAGATAGTACTGTCCTCAACAGTACTATATTAAGGAGGAGTTAATTTACTGCACCCTAATACCAGTGCTCGTGTAGACAGTAGTGCTTTACTGTGGAGCTACTTAGTTAACTACACAGTAAAAGCTCACGCATAGATGCACCCAGTGAGTGGTAATGAGAACCTAACATAAATACCTTATGTGAACATTTACCTGTTCAGCTGCTCTGTCTTTTACAAAATTAGCAATTTTCTTTCTTGGTCCAAGAGGTATTTCCATTTCCTTCAGGTCATCAACTGTACACATCAGCTAAAATAAATGACACCATTTTTTACAAAAAAATACAACTTAAAAACGAGTTAAGAAATCTAAGAAAGCAGGATTATTTTACAATGTTACATGACTCTAAAACAGGGGCAGGCAATTATATCGGGCAGAGGGCCGCTTACTGAGTTTTGGCAAGCCATTGAGGGCTGCATGACAGGCAGCCAGGGGCAGATATATATTAATTTTCTAAATTTTTTAGGGGTTCTGCAGGCTGGATAGAATGGCCTGGCGGGCCACATCCGGCTCATGGGCTACATTTGGCCCACCTCTGCTCTAAAAAAATCAAGCATATATATATATATATATATATATATATATATATATAAGATACTTAAATATGTGCAAAAATCGGACAACAAAATCTACCCAGCATAAGAAGTCCTGGAGCCATAAAATGTATTTCATCTTAATGTCATGTCTCATTAAAGTTGGGATTTTTTGCCTATAAGTTAACTATTTCCATGACATGAAACTCTAAAGTAAACATTTGTCCATCCTACAATTATAGTTGAAAATACTGGTTGTACCAGAGATTCCATATCAATTCTCTCTTTTTCAAATATACTGATGTATTCGGTAAGACTGAGCATTTCCAGAGTCTTCTGCAAGGTTGGAACTTCATCATCCATGCTCGGTTCATAGGACTCATCACTAGAGGGAGTAACTGAAGTACCCAATGAACTGGTATCTTCTGTTATCTTAAGACAAGATCAAAGGAGCATAATCAGGTTGTCAGACAGAAGGAATGAAAAACAGTACTGTTAACATCTAAAACTGTTAATCATCACATGTGAAGTTTTAATGGCACATACAAACAACAAACTTTTCAACTAATATTGAACTAAGCTAAATAACAACTACTAAATCTGACAATGGTTTTTAGATATCCATGATGTACACAAATGCACTCCCTCCATATCTTTACCTTTCTTCTACAGATCAGGGAACAGACTTGGCGATTCTTTGTCCTACACCATATGGAAGGGCCAATATTGATTAACAAAGTCTGCAACCCAGCTTGATACTCAAAACCAGTAGGTACAATGGCCCCTGCTGAGACTCTGGCCTCTTTAAGCTCATACATTCACTCTTCCTTTTAACTTACAGACCATAGAAACACAAATCATCTACATAATTAGTTTGTTAAAACTTACTATTGCATCATGTGTAGCATTTAACTGGCCAGAACAGTTCTGACATGAGAAACACCCACTAAAAACAAGATTAATCTACCTAAAAACAGACATGCAAAAAGTACCTGCTTATCAGAAATAGCAACATCTTTCACAACCCCATTTACAGCAGAGAGATAGCCAGAGCTTCCTGATGAAGCCAAGTCTTTCTGGTTGGACAGTATGTCAAACAGAATTAAAGAACCTGGAAATATAAAATAAGAAACGAAACTGAGTAAAGTATTCAGGTTTTTCCTGATCTAGTAAGGTGGGGTTTTTGGGGGTTTTTTTAACTAGGAAAAGTATTCCTATGAAATAAAGGCTTTGAGGTTCAGATATTAAAAATTTACATACAGTTGAGAATTCTTGGAACAGAGGATGTGATTTATTGACTTCTTTGCTTAAGTTTATTTCACTTGAATAAGTAAAATAGCCAAAAACACATTTTTTCACCAGCCCGGGCTGTGGCCACTTTCTAGAACCCGAAGCTAGAGGTTCTCACTGCCAGAGCTGCATATTGCTTATTAGACAAGCAAGTATTATTTGTCTTTTACCAAAGGGGATGCTGATGGAAATTATAATTAATGCAGGCCACACATATCAAGTCACTTTTTTACCCTGGATTAGAATCCAAATTTTGTGGCATTCAGTATCATGTTCCAACCTCTAGATCATACTGCCTCAAAATTTTAAGTAGAATAAACTAAACTACTTATCAGCCTTTTGCATTTAGAGCTAGCAACATCCAGGACACTATTACCATCTATCTACCAGATGAGCCTTTCCCT